GCATTTTTATTCGTTAATCATATTTGAAACAATTTAGTGGAACGTAACACCGTTTGATCTCTATAATTTCGATATATTAATAAGAAATCAAATATATTTTTCTTTAAAAATTCCATATATTTAATACCACTGGACATGTACGTAACACAATTTTATAAATTGTGATTCATAGACTCAAAACACGTAGAGAGAGAAACTAAAATGTTTAATTTTGTATTAATGTTATTGTCGTAATCTTGATATAAACGTTTAAGCTGGTGAATCATAGTATTTATACCAAGTTCATGGACAATGTGGAGAGGATGACAAAAGAACATGATAAGTGTATTTTATGCATTTATTTAAACCGTTAAATATGGATATTTTGAATTGTGACTGAATACATATTGTTTGTGAGGTAAAGCTAGATGATTGAATCTGATTTTAGAAGAAATGAACGAAAACAGAGCTAAAAAGAAGATTTTTAAAGTTCAAGGATTAAATTGTCAAGATCCAAAATGTTGATTCAGCTAAGGAAGAAAGTTTGAAGATCATATTGAGTCAATTGGATGAAATCGGAAGATGATTGGTGCACAATAATGGAGAATATATAGATGTGCCTAAAAAGATAAAGGACCAATAAAAGCTTACTTGGAATGAAAACTACAAAAGTGTGGGGACTTTTTCTTTTTATATAATATCTCAATAGTTGTAACTTATCGATGTGAATTCGTTATAATTGAAAGTTTGATTGTTTTAAATATAAAATATGAAATTGGAAAAAAAAGAAAAATCTCGAGACAATTTACATTTTGAAAATTTATTTTTGATGGATAAAAAATGGGACGATTAGCTGTAGTTTTTTGTGCATTCAAAGTATTTCAAATTGTAATGAAGGAAAATAATATAATAATTTAGAGAGAAGTTGATAAAAATAAAAGATAGGAAAAAATAATAAATATTTTTTGAGAGTAATAAAATTAAGTGTTAAATATAAAATCCTGTTGGAATACTTAAAAGAAAATTTACTCTCTAAATTTATAAATAATATCTAAATC